TGTACCTATCTCATCAATTTTCTTTGTCAACAAGCTCATCTGGGTCATGAAAATGGCTATATTTTCTGCATTTGTATGGTTTGGGTCAAGAGCAACAGAATACACTATTGGAGTGTGTGTTGTATCTCTCGTCATCCAGCCTGAATTTTGAGCCATCTTGTCAAGAAGAATCTTACACTCTGTGAATGTTTTGCTCAAGAATGCACCCCCAGCTGAAGCAGCTACATTGTCCTTCAGACCGTCAGCCAAACCCATATAGAATCTATGTCTAAGCATCTAATCTGGGATGCCATGGTGTGGACACTTCACTAGCATACATTTAAACCTCACCCAGGTTTCCTGCAAGGTTTCAGTCGGATTCTGCCTGAATTGTAATATCTCATCAATTTGCCTCGCAGTTTTGTTGGGTGGATTGAACTTGTTTAAGAACTGCTTGACCATTCCTCCCAAGTAGAAATGGAGTTTATTGGGAGCAAATTCAGCCAAGTTTGAGCCTCCCCAGTCACTGAGAATGGGAACAATAATAATCTGATTGCTTCAGGAGTCACATTCGGTTGTCTTTGAGTGACACAAATTGATAGAAAGTTCTTCAGATGTTGTTGTGGGTCTTCGATGTATGACCCGGAGAACAACCCTTTTATTTTGCAGCATGTTGTTGGTAATCTGAAATGTCTCCACTTGTATCGGATGGACTGCAATTGTGGTGGCCAAGTTATAAGCAGTTGGTTGCGCCCAATCATATAGAGCGGGCTTCCGGCACAATAGGTGCTACCACTCTGATATTTGGGTCAACTCGATTATTCCTATTATTCTCGTTGATGTTATCGATGTCTTCCATTTCAATTTCGAATTGTTCATCTTGTTTTAGTTGTTTGCCCTTCTTGATAGCCCGATTCAATGCCCTGAATGCTTTCTCGTGATCTGAGAGTCCTTCAAAAAGTGCACCACTTCTCAAAGAGCTTCTAGGCATGCACCTGAGTCACAGAAGAGTTCAAACGTGAGAATTTCAATGGAAATATTTTTAACACCCCAGAAAATTGATCTAAACTAAAAATCCTAGCAATTTTTCCAAGTTATAATAAATAGCACCGTTAGTTCCACAGCAACGACGCTAAAATTTGATCACGCCCAACTATGTCTTATAAAAAGGACTAAGCGGTCGCTGCAAAAATAATCCGCTATTTTCTACACCTTTTAGTATCGCTAATGATAAGCTCAGACAATTTTCAGAGTTCAAAATTTTATTTGATAATTAACAGAAATTATTTAACTAAGGTAAAATGACAATAAAAACTATCAATAAGCAAGAATGAAGTTGAATTCAAGGGTAAATGAATCTAGGGTTATTGATTTCCCCAATTGTCGGATTAATTCCTGACACGTTAGCTATAATCTCGATGTAACACTCTATAAAGATGATGACTTCTTGTTTACCGTAACTTATCTCTCGATCAATTACGATAATTTACTAGAAGCATTCTCTCAAACTACTCTAGTTGATAATTTGTACAACTCATAAATATCACATCAAAGCTTCGTTATCTCTAATCTAGCTTTTAAATTCAAGTAATTAATCTCTTAACTTACTCGAAAGTGGTGGTGTTCAACAATAATCTAATCAAGTATTCTTTCTCAAGCAACACTAGACAACTGGACACGATTAATCAAGGTCCCTTTCAATTAATCACAAGAAACACATAGTTGAACAATTATAAAGTAAAAATGGCTCAATTATATCAAAACGTAATCAAGACTTCATCCAACAATTAGTTCCATCAACCTTAGATGACGGGTTTAGCTACTTATACTACTATGCACGATTACAATATAAAAAGTCATAACCAACAATGGAATTACGAAGAAGATGATGAAAAACTCGTAGGAGAATTCTCCGTCTTGCTCCTCTTGTGTTCTTGCCTCCAAAGTTCTTCTAGAAATAGAGATACCCTATTTTTGGGCGAGTTGGGCTTCATATAGGTCAAGGTTAGTCGCCTCTCAAATTACAAAATTGGCCTTGGATGATTTTTCTCGGAAGCACGTGTGCGGCCACACACTTTGGCCAGTTTCTGCCTGACATGCGCGGCCCAGTGCACGGCCGCACATAGCTCGCACACCTGGAGGATTTTCTGAAGCATTTTTTTCTTTCTTCTTTCTAAGCGCGCTAACCTCCAATTGGCCTTCAGTGCTCCATATTAACTCCAAAACACTCTTAAACGTCCTCATAGCCCGGAATTGCTCCTACAAAGCATAAAGTTCTTAATTAGAGTAATTTATTATCATTTAACATTCAAATATCAATAAAGTACTGCTAAGTTAGAGTGAAAATAGTAGCTAAACTATATAATTATATCCTACTATCATTTATGCTTGATCTTATACACCCACTTGCATCATATAGTTTTCTTTCCATCTAGGAGAGGCACCAAATCCCATGTATGATTTGTGTATAATGCCTGAAATTCTTGGGTCATTGCTGCTTGCTAGGCAGGATTAATGACTGCCTCATCATATGAACAAGGTTCACACTCATGTGAAGTATTTCTTACCATCTGCTGACTTTCAGGAACTAATGCATTAAAAGAGAAATATTGTTTGTTTGGGACATAAGCAGTGAAAGATGTAGACTGTGTTTCTTGACTTTGGCTAGAAGAACATGGTTGGAGATTTGGGATTGAATGCACATAGTCCTTTAAGTAAGCATGGGTATTGTGTGTTCCTAACAGGTCTGCACTGATTATGACTCAGGTATTCTTGCAACTGACTTGATACAAAAATAGTTATTGAGATCAGGAACATATAGTTGGTCTTGGATTTGTGGAGGTGAATCAATTATCAGACTATCATTTTGCCGTATGGCTATTGGTGATTGGTCATGGTTATTTGAATGACCATGTGACATTGCACCATAGTGAGATTCAGGTGACACTACACTAGAGTGGTATGAAGACTCGTGAGGCATATCAGGTTCAGAGGGAAAAACTGATACATTAGGGTACATCTGTTGTGCAAAAGAAAACTAGCTAGGACAGGACACATTATTGAAATTGAAAGACAAGTAGAAGGGAAACACATTTTCATGAAAAACTACATCTCTTGACACATGTATCTTCCTTGTGAACAAACTTAAGACTTTGTAACCCTTTGAACGAGATGGATAGCCTACAAAAATATGAGGAGTGGCTCTTGGCTCAAACTTATCTTTGCGGTTTTTCAGTGTAGTAGTGAAACATAAGCAGCCAAAACTACTGAGATAAGAATAGTTAGGCTTTTTCTTGTAAAGCAGTTCATAGGGGCATTTATTATTTATGGGGGATGAAGGTAATCTATTTATCAGGTATGTAGAGGTAAGTGTACATTCTTCCCAGTACTTTAGGGGTAATTTGGACTGGAAAAGCAATGCTCTAGCTGTTTCAAGGAGGTATTTATGTTTTCTCTCTACCACCCTATTTTGTTGGGGTGTGTAGGGGCAGGTCTTTTGGTGGACAATTTCTTTAGACTGGAAAAATAAAATAGCTTCAGAACTGGTGAACTCTAGTCCATTATTAGTCCTTATGGACTTGATTGAAGTCCCAAACTAGTTTTCTACCATGGTGAAAAATTCTTTAATCACATATAAAGCATTACTCTTGCTTCCCAAAAGATGTATCCAGGTAGACCTACTATAATCATCTACAAGGGTTATAAAGTATTTGTGGCCATCGTGAGTATTTACATGGTAGGGTCCCCACAAATCAATGTGTAGTAGTTCAACAATTTTGATTGAAGATGAACTTTATAGTAAAAAGGGTAATCTTGCTTGTGTGGCAATAGGACATATAGGGCACGTGAATGGTTGCTTTGAGGCAAATTTAACTGGCATGGTTGAGATACCTCTCATCTTTACAAAGGGTACATGTCCTAATCGATTGTTCCACAAGGAATCAACAGTATCAACACCATTAATAAAGACATTTAGCACATAATGGCCACTTCCTTTATTCAAATTTGAACTATGTATAACAATCTATGAATCAGAAAGTACTTTATTTATATGTGTGTGATATGAAGTGGAAGGGCAAGACACAGAATCAGAAACAATGCTAGAAGTAGACTTTGAGAACTGAGAGTACAAACCATCTATTGCTTTACCAATCTCTAGAAGCCTCTTCACTGAAGGGGTCTGCAGAAGGAAGCAAGTAAATTTGGTAAATGCAACTATGCAATCAAGCTGAACTGTCAAAGAATGAACAGAAATCATGTTATATTTGAAACTAGGCACAAAAAGAACTTTTCTTAGGGTGAATTTTGGGCTAAGGACTACATCTCCAATGAGTGTCACCTTTACCTTATATCCATTTGGCAATGACACCACAAAAGGGTAAACTAGGGTTTTAGTGTTGGTTAACTAAGATTTCTTGAAGGTCATATGGTTTGTGGCACCGGAGTCTAGGATCCTTGAGTTGACATTTTGGCTTAAAACAATCATATGAGTGATTACTATGCTCAACAGAATTACAGCAAGTCATAGTACCTGCAAAATTGACAGCACCGCCAGCCACGTTAGTGTTTCCGAAATTTTCCCTTGCATTTCCTGATTGGAAGTTCTCGAGCAGGCTCAGAAACTGTCCATATTGTTCCTTGGTTAGATTATGCAAATTATGTCCTTGTTCTTGCAAAACTCCATCCTTTTCTCCAGCATTTATTCCATCACCTGGTCCTCCAAACACATTTGCAGCATTCAATTTCCCTTTGTTGAACTTGTTGAAGGTCTGTGAGTTGTTGTTGAACCTATTCATGCCCTGTGGATACCCATGAAGCTTGTAACATTTGTCTTTGGTTTGCCCCGGTTTTTTGCAATGCTCACAAAAAGGCCTAGGTTTGTTAGGATTATAATTTCCTCTGAAACCACCAGTTCCAACAAAATTCTGATTGTAGTTTGTCCTAAAATTGTTGCCTCCTGAAGTATTAGCATTTAGATCAGCAGAGTCGATCATGACTTGACTCTGGGACTTGACTTCCCTCTACTTCTCCTCCTGAATAAGAATGGAGAAAGCTTGCGCTATGCTAGGTAAGGGGTTCATCATCAAAACACTTCCCCTCACTATTGTATATACTTCTTTTAGTCCCATGAGAAACTGAATTAGCCTCCTATCTTGTTCAACATTTTGCATATTAGCTTTGAATCCACAGATACACTGGCAGCTGCACTGAGCATGTATGCTCAAGGTGTTTAGCTCTTCCCATAACCTTTTCATTTCATAACTTGCTCCATTCGTCTGATCGTGCCTATCTTCTAGCTCTTGCCAGAGCTCTTTCGCATTGTTGACATATTGTAGGCTATCTGTTAGATCCTTAGAAAGTGAATTCAGTATCCACGAGGTCACCATGTCATTACATCGTTCCCACTGACTGAAGAGAGCATCGTTTGCATCTGGCCTCTTACATTTTCCATTAATGAATCCTACCTTATTCTTCACAGACAAAGCTCTTAGTACACCTCTTATCCATAATTTGTACCCAGATCCATCAAAAGGGACCGGCACTAAAGTAGTTCCTGCATTCTCCGATGGATGCATGTAAAGAGGACTAGTCGAGTTTAGTGAGGTATTAGTTGATTATGTCACTTCTTCTTCTCCGGCCATGATTCAAGCAGTTAAGGATACTAAAATGCAAGTTCTAGTTGAAAATTCAGCGGTCAAAACACTCAATTTCAGAGAAAATCTCAACAACAACAAAAAACGCGATCTGAGAACCCTTAATCGATCAAAAAAGGACAAATGAGGCTTGCTCAGTTGGTAAAAGTACCTCCACCTACGACAGCTAGGTCCTGGGTTCGAGTCACAGTAGAGAAAAAGTGTGAAAACACTATAGATCCTCATAATTTGGGAGGGGTTTAAAAAAAGGAGATGAAATTCAAAGAGAAACAGATCGAAGAGTATCGAACTATGCAAAATTGGCGAGGAGTTGGGTCGAGAATCGGAGCCTAAGCTCTGATATCATATCAAAAATAGGAGAATACATTGAAATCGAGCTTTACTCATGCGAGAGCCATGGAACATAGGAGAGAAGACTCTAGAAGAATATTGAAGAATACCCTATTTTCATTTCATTTTTAGTAATATCTGTACACTGTACATTTTATAAGAAAAGAAAAAAAATAAAAACTTTGCCAGCTGGCAATGAGCTTCCCACTAACCACTAACTACCACAATTAAATATATAGTATGTGTATGCAATGCTAGTGTATACAATATGTGTATGCAATGCTAGTGTACATCTCAATGTAGCCAAGCAAGGTTACAGGATAACAAGTCATATGATATATAAAAGTGCCCGAATTCATGATTTTAAGCTTATGAGTTCTCAACTAAAACTCTTTTTTGCGTACTGGGTTCCGAAGAAATTATTTATACAGTCAACCATCTCTATAACATCCTCGTTTGTTCCGATATTTTTTGGCTTTTATAGTGAATGACTGTTATACACATATAACAACATTTGATGTTTAAATATTTTTTGGCTGTTATAAATAAAACTTATTCAAAAATCAATTATTTTATCTTTTTTAATGTTACATATAAAAGATAAGAAAACTATTCAAATTTAAATCTCAAAAGATATGCATATTTCACTAGTTAAATATTGAAGAAAATTAATACATTATTAATAAATTCATAACTAAACTCATACATATTTAAACTCTAAGGTAGACATTTTAAAGCTACTTAGAAAAATAAATTCTTTCAAGATTGAAGGAAGAACTTTGTAATTGTAGCTTGTTTCGTAAATTTCATTCTCTTACTAATATAACGCTTGAATCGGTGAAGGTTCGTGTCTAAATTTTCAGCAAAATGTATCCAATAGCTTTCCCTTGAAGACAATCTAAGAGCTTAACAATTAAATTTTCTATCTAATTATTTTTTAAAATTTGTCCAATGGAAAAGATATCATGTGCAAATCTTCAAATCTTATATATCATATAAGGTAGAAACTTTTTTTTTAATGGAATAGATTGTGTGCATATTTTTAGAATTAATAGTAATCTTAATGATTTTATATGGCTGTTATAGAAGTGTAATTTTATAAATAATGTTCTACTATAAATATGGTTGTTGTTGTTATAGGGAAAAAGTTGTTATAGAGAGGTAAAAATATAACTTTAAAAATTGGTTATGAGGAAAACTTATCTTTTATAGTGAATAGCTGTTATATATGGATGTTATAGAGAGGTCTGATTGTACATATTAAATATTTTTTTTGAAGATGAGCCTTGGAGCAATGATAAAGTTGTCTCTGTGTGACCTATAGGTCACGGGTATGAGCCGTAGAATCAACCACTAACACTTGCATCAGGGTAGGTTGCGTACATCACACCCCTTGGAGTGTGACCCTTCTCCGGACCCTGCATGAATACGGGATACTTCGTGCACCGATCTTCTCCTTTTTTATTATTAAATAATATTTTTATACATATAAGATTTGGCCAATACTACAGGGTTCTGCCTAACTTGTAACTTCTATGATGGCTCCACCCTGCCCCCACCTCTCTCTCCCTCGTTTGCCCATGATTTAAGGTCGCTGCATTAAGGGCAGTGAAGAAGGTAGATGATGAAGCCAGCAAATATTTGTCTAGACATAAATGCAGATGTGGTTGGAATTGAACTCGTACCAACTACCAAATATGCCTTACAATTTCAATAAAATTAGGTTTATTTTCCCTGCATCACAAACCTAACAGCTAAGGTTAGATGAGACAGAAGATTTGACGATTGTTCAATATTCATAAATGACACCGCATATATTGATAATACTGTTGACCGTTGAAACACTTTGAAACGAAATAGGGTGTGGGAACATTGTACTTGGAAAAGATCCCACACAAAGACTTTTAAGTTATGCGAGGATTATCACGAATTGTATACGGTGGATAATAATGAAGTGCCAAGATTGGTATTATATTATTCGATGAATAAAAAAAAAATATTCGAATACTTATATCATTATTTTTGGTCTCATTATTCCTACTTCTGCAGGAATAGGGTTACAGTTTTTTAATTGGAAAATGGTCAAATATACTCTTGTACTGTCAGAAAATATTTAAATATACATTTCGTTATACTTTGAGTCTATATATACCAATGTCGTTATACTATTGGTTCAAATATACTCATTTTCCGTTAAGTTTGTTCAATGTAGATATCTAATCTTACGTGACACTAACATTTGATGAGGTGGATGTCACATGGTTTGCCACATCAGCGTCCCTAACCCATTTTATCCCTCTCTTCTATTTTTTTCTACCACTAAAATTTCCTTCCCCTCCGTCACTATTGCCACCATTACCGCTACCATAAAAAATATTGTATTTCAAATTTTAATCTTTTATATATAGATTAGGGGCGCTGAGGTAGCATGTCATGTGGCATTCACCTCATCAAATATCAGTGCCACGTAGAATTGGATGTCCAACTTGGACAAACTTAACAGAAGAAAGGTATATTTGAACCAATAATATTACGATGAGAGTATATTTGAATCAATAATATTATGACAGAGATATATTTGAACCCAAACTATAATGAATGATATATTTAAACTTTTTCTTACGGTACATGAATATATTTGGCCTTACTGATACGAGAAATGACATCTGCCAGGAAAAAAAAGAAGTGACATTCGTTAATGAAATGTTTATTCAACGGTGGTCCTCAGAATTACAGTAATTATTTAAAGCAATTTTCTGATGTCTCAAATAAATAAAAATGTGCAATTTGCAAGCCAAATAAGTGTGAAGTGAAAAGAGAAGTGCCCGTTTGGACATAAGAATTTTTTTTCTTTTTTTCAAATGTTTTTTATTTTTTTTTTGAAATTAACGTTTGTTCATAAAATTTTCAATTTTCACTTGAATATGCATTTTAAAATTTTTCGAAATTTTGAAAAATTCCAAAAAATTATTTTTTAAAATTTTCACTCCGATTACTCATAAAATTTCAAAAACAACTTAAAATTATATTCTTGTCCAAACACAATTTTAATTTTTAAATATCATTTTTTA